TGGAATAAGATAGTCAAGTCCCGTGGGTCGGTCTATCATGACGTGTTAGTAGATGATCTCCGTCTGGCTCTTCTGTCTGATCTCAAAGTGGATTGCTGGTCGTCTAAAGTGCTCATCATTTTGCGTTGGTTGGGCCATGAGTGGCCGGCGTGTGACTCCGTTTCTCAGAAGGTAGATGTATACTCGTCTCAGTTGATTCGAGTGGGTGAGGTTCTGGAGAGGTTATCTGCGTTCCTTTTAAGTGACTGGGATCAGTTCAGCCAAGGGGGTGATCCGCGTGTGTTCCAAGGTAAAGGGGTTTCGCTTTGCAGGTATCATAACTGGATGGGCTCCCCTTCACCAGCAAGAGAGGGCTCCGATCCCACAGGCTATTTGCGTGTTTATTTGCCGGTCAACCAGTTGCGTATGGTTGCCAAATTCCGTCTTTGTTGTTGGCCTTTGGAGGTCAACAAAGGACACCATAGGCCGAGAGAGTGCCGTACGTGTCAGGTCTGTACGTCGGGTAAGGTTGAGGATGAATATCATGTGCTCATGGAGTGTGAGGCGTATACTGAGTTGCGTAATAGGTTTCTGATTAACGTTGAAGATACTGATATGCGCAAGGTATTTCTTAATACCAATCCGAGGAAAATCGCTACTTTCCTTACTGAGGTTTTTGATGAGCGTCAACAGCGTGCTCTGGAGCTTCACGGCTCGTGAGGGCACCCGCCGCGTCGGCGGCGGAAATACTGTAACCACAATACAATACAAAACCCGCCCTCCGCTACGGCCCAAATCGACGGCAACTAGCATTGCAGGATAACTGCATCGCATGAGGCCACATGCGAGTTAAGATGAAAGGATGTGGCAAGCGCTCATTAATCCCACTTGCCGCGCGCGCTTTGGCAGTAACGACCGACCGGCGCCAGTTGGCACCGACCAAGAGATACAAACATTGCCTCAAATCCTCCAGCAAAATCCGTCTGCTCGTCCAACTCCTAAATTATGACCAACCGCGTCACGGTCCATGCACTTAAGGAAACGTCGGAAAAAAACTGAGATGCCACCCGCCGGGAAACACCGCAGGTCTGTGCGGGCCGCTGCGTCTGCTATGTACAAGGCTGGAGATGCTGATGCTGGTGTAACGGCGATGAGTAAGTCGATAGGAAGGTCAATTCAATTTTTTAGTCAAGAGGTCGTGTAAAGTGGAGCGCCATAATGCATGGGGCAAAAGGCCAACCTCCCTTGCCTTCCCTTTTTCTCTAAGAGCCCCGGCCGCCTGCTTGCCTACGTCTACCTCCGGCCAGGTCTGAGGACGGGGCCAGCCCCCTCCACACAACATCACCACCGCCACCGCCACCGCCACCAATGCCCCAAGCCGCTGCCACCGGAATGACCATTCCCGGCCATTACGCGCCCTGGGTCACACACATACACACATGTGTGTGCATATTTACCCCTGCACGTATCGCCATCTGCGCCATCCCTGCACCATCCCTGCCTCGTAGATGCACAATTCACCACCGATGAATACAAAGCAGTATTCGGGCATGAATCTGAAAACCGTATCACGTCCCAGTACACAACACATCACATCACGCAACCCGCTACGTAGTGGGCAATCCGCCTCAGACGGATGATGATGACGATGACGATGACGATTCTTCCCCCAACCTCTGATCTTCGCAACCCCCCTTTACCCCCCCTTCGGAGGGAAGGGGGAAAGGGGGCCAAGCCGCCGTGGGCCGGTATGGCAATTCATTGTTCCATCCATCGCAACGGCAAACACGCGGCAACCCCCTTCGTGCGGCAGTCCCTATCCTTTGTATGATGTATGTGATCACCTCAATCACCACCACAATACATTCCCGCTGCGAAATCAACAGTTCACCGGAAATCCAAAATAAAACAAGCTTTCTGCATACACCTCTCCGTCTGTCCGTCAATCTGTCAAAACGGTCTGCCTGTGTGTATGTGTCTGCGGCAGCCTTAAACTCTGGCTCGACAACCCCTCAGGAACCGCCACCAGCCAGCTGCGTTTGAAGGGGGGAACGGCCCCGCAGTTCCCAATACGGAACCAACGCCGCGCGGACAAACAATAAAGCCTTTACCACCATTCCCACTCCCACTCCCACTACTAAGAGTAGCTCAGCGCAAAATCATCCTCGTGCCGGTCCCCGTAATCGGCAGCATGGTACCTGCCCCGGCCGCCCGGATCCGTATCACCGTCATCTTCACTGTTACGTCCCCGGCCGTGGCGATTGTACCCGCCGGGGCCGCCACCGCCATCTCCGCCGCCGGCGCCGTACCGCCCGGGTGGCGGCACGACAGCGGCGCCGGCTCCGCCGCCGCCACCTCCGTTGTCCATGTCCTCCTCATCGTACATGTCGTACCCGCCCATGCCCATGCCGCCGACGCCACCCCCAACGCCAAACGCACGCATGCCGCCGGCGCCGCCCACGTCGTCGTCCAGCGCTGAGAGGTCCAGGTCACCGATCTCAAGATCCAAATTAGGCAACCCGAAGTCAATGGCGGCAATGTCCTGCCGCAGACGTTCCAGGCCCAGACCGGCGGTGCTAATGTCCAAATCAGGCTCTAAGAGGGCGGTCAGGTCTGAGGGGGCGAGCGTGTCGCAGATGCCGTCGTGCGGGAACGCGCGGAGCACATGCGCCGCCATATCCGCAATCATATCCTCGATCATGTCCTCCACGGTCCCCACCCGCCGCAATACACTCAGTCCGTCCCCATCCGCTGCCGAACCATCCGTGCCTCCTCCTGCCTCCTGGCCTCTGGCAGTGCCCGACCCCGGCCGGGGCACCCCCTCCACCCCCTCCAGTGCGGAGGCCCCCTCGAAGCCCTGGAACACCACCGCCACCACCGGGGCAGGGGGGGGGGAGCGGCGGGAGTATGGTGTTGGGGGAAAGAGGGGGGGGTTGGGGTTAAGTTAGGATTCAGGGTGATCCCCGGGCGAACGTGTATGTGTATGTTGGGATGGGGGTAGTTGAGGTGAGGTCAAATTCAGGGGCCGTGGAGGGCAACGAATGCGGCCGGGCAGTGTCGTGACGTCTGTCGGCCCCGGGCGCAACACCCCCCTCTTGGTGGATACAGGGCCGCGCGAATTGCTGCTATTGCTGCTGCATGGGGAAAGAGTAGCAGCAGCAGTTGCAGCAACAGCAGTAGCAGCAACAGCAGGCGCAGGAGGAGCAGCAGCCGCAGCCGCCCTCTCGCAGCACTCCCCTCGCCCACTCCCACCCGCCCTACGACCTCCCCCAACCTCACCAGCAGCATCGTGGCCACATCCGGAGGGGGGGTTGGCGGGGGGGACGAGCTGGTGTCCTCCCACGCCGCCTTCACCTCCTGGCTGGGTGCCCCGGGCGGTTGTACGGCACCTCCCGCGGCCGGTTCATCTGCCGCCACCAGCGCCTTGACCAAATCTGAGTGGGTGCCCACCAGCGAGCTCAGGTGCTCCTGTGTGTGTATGGGGGGGGGAGTGTGTATATGGGGGGGGAGTGTGTGTATGGGGGGAGGGCCGGGGCCGCGGAAGGGAACACGGGAACGAGGAAAAGGAAGACCGCGCGTGTGTTTTCTGTGTGTGCGTATGTATGGGTGTTCGTCGCATGGTCGGTCAACTGGGAGAGAAGAGGGGATCAGGAAAGGCTTTCGCGCGAATGCACACACATACATACATACATACATACATACATACATACATACATATATACATATACATATATACATATATACATATATACATATATACATATATACATATATACATATATACATATATACATATGTACATACACACTGCGTATGGGGCGGTCCAGCCGTACGACCTGCATGGCGCACAAGGCAATCCGCCAAACCACTCAACTCCCCAGCAGCCGCAAGCAAGCGACCCACATCACCCACGCACCTGCATCCTGCTCCGCGCCAGAGCCACCCGCCTCTCCAGGTCAGCCACGGCCACCGCGAAGGCCTGCTGCAGTGCCGCCAGCGTCTTGGCTGAACTGGCTGCCGTACTGGCCGACCCGCGGGTCACCTCCGCCGTCATGTGACCCACTATCCTCAGCAGCTGGTCGTGTTTGTCGTTCCGGAGCAAGTCTTCCGCCCTCTCCGCCACAGCGGTCTTGGCACTGCGAGCCAAGGGGGGATGAGAGAGGGGTGAGAGAGGGGTGAGAGAGGGGTGAGAGAGGGGTGAGAGAGGGGTGAGAGAGGGGTGAGATGAGGGGTTGGTGATGGAAAGAGGGCCACTACAGCCAAACCCCACACGACACCCCCCGACCCGACCTGGGCTGTCCACCCAGCGCCACCCCTGGACCCAACCCGCCGCCGTCGGGGTCGTTTGGGGGCCTCTGAAGTGTGTTGGTGTGTGTTGGTGGGCATTGGTGGGCACCTGTCCATTACCCCCCCATCACATGCTTCCCCATATTCCGCCCCCACCCAAACCGGCTACAGGCCATCCCAACCTTTTCCCGGGATTCCATTTCCTACCCCGTCCCTCGCCCCTCTCCTACCCTTACCCTTTCCCTCCCCCACGCTCCCCCCTCCCCTCCCTCCCGCCACACACATACATACACACAAACACATAGATACATACATACACTCATACATTCATACATACACACATACACACACGCACATGTTGGCCGCCTCGCACGCCGCTCGGGCCATCTCCTGCTGCACTCTGCCCAGCGCCTCCCTCATGCCCTCCAGGTTCACCAGCGCGGTGCCCCGCCGCTGGCCGCCCTCCATCCGGGCGACTGCCGCCGCCACGGCCTCGTTCAGCGCCTCCCTCCGACTGCCCAGCTGCTGCATCAGAGCCCCCATGCGCTGGTTGAGAGCCACACGGGCCGCGGGGGGCCGACCAGCGAGCAGCCGCTGACGGCGGCCCCAAACAGTGTCGAGCTTGCGCTGAGAGGGAGGGGGATTTCCGGTGTGTGTGTTTGTATGCATGTGTGTCTGTGTGTGTATAATTGGTTCTTCCCCTGAAGTGTGCATATTGTGTGTATTGGTTCTTCCCCTAAAGGGGAACTTCTTTAGTTCCCCTTTAGGGGATGAACCAAAGGGTGGATGGGTGGTGGATGGGTGGGTGGGGGTGTAAAGCCATGATGCGATGGCAGTCGGAGGAGGTGGAGGGGGAAAGGGAGTGGGCCAGGTCGGGTCGGGTCGGGGCTGAGGGGGAAGTGACCTCGAGGGGGGGTGCGGTGGGGGGGATCGGGTTGTGGGGTGAGAGGGCACTACATACATACATGCATACATACATGCAAAAACCAAACACCCCTAGCTACATGACGTGGCAATAAATCGAGAGATGAAAGCGAGTGACTGCAGCACCCCCCCTCCCCGTCCACCCCCACCCCCACATCCACATCCACACCACACACGGCCCCCACTTGCCATTATGGCGCTCCTCCCTCTCCTCCCTCCCTTTCCCCCCCTCACCTCCAGCGCCCCCAGCCTGCCGAGCCCCTCCGCCTTCTTGGCCTCAATCTCCTTCAGCCGCCTGCCCACCAGCTTGCGCATGTCCATAATGATGCCCTCAACTTCAGAGGTGGCCTGGCAGGCCGGGGGAGAGAAAAGAGGGGGGGGGTGAGAAAAGGCGACAGAAAACACATCAACACACGAGCACATATAAATACCTACATACCTACATACGTATGTCCTTCCAGGTTTTCAGGTTTTCAGGATTCAGGTTTTCGTATCCGTACACCGTACATCCGTACACGCACCTTGGCCTCCGCCCTCTTCTGCGCCGCCGTCAGCCCCGCCAGCTTCTTATCCAGCAGCGCCTCCACCCGCCCCAGCTGTGCGTCCCTCCGTGCTAGCACACTCCGCAGCACGCTTTCCCTGGACGCGGTGAGGCGGGTGGTGGCGGCCATGAGCTTTACCTGGGCGTCACTGCCGTCGCGAATTGTGGCAGATACCTGGGACCAGGGGGGGAGGGGGAGGGGGAAGGGGGGAGAGGGGTTAAGATGAACCACAACAGACGAGTGATGCTGATACCAGAGGTATACGGATCATCCAGGAATAGGGGGGGATAGAGGGGGGAGAGGGAGGGGGAATCATATGAGAGCAAGATGATAAGGTTCGTCGTTTGATCTACGGAGAGCGGGGTGGGGGGTTGCGAAGGGGGAAAAAGGGCAAAGGGGGAAGAAGGGTGTGCGCGTGTGTGTGTGTTTGTGTGTTTGTGTGTGCGTGGGGGGTGTTGACAGATGCACGGTGCCGTGAAGCGTTAATGCAATCCAAACACGAATGTCCCCAAACTAAACCCGCCTTCACACGTCGTCCACCTTCCCTCTCCCCCGCCTCCCATTCCTCCACCCCTCCACTGTATCACCTCACCCCCCTCTTTCCCCGCTTTCCCCGCTTTCCCCGCTTTCCCCTCTTTCCCCTCTCTCACGCTCCCACTTCCCCCCGACCCCTCACTGCTCTCCCCCCCCATCCACACCAGCTCCTTCTTGGCCTCCATCGCCCCCTCCAGCGACTCCAAATGCATCCTGGCCAGCCCGTAGAACTCCCCCATACGGCTCTGGGCACCCCGAACGCCCTCCAACACGCCGCACTTGGCGGTCAGGTAGCGACGGAGCCGCGCCACGTGGCCACTCGCCAGCAGCGGGGAGGGACCCCCAGATGCGGTCGCTGCCGACGGCCCAGATGGGCCTGGCGCTACTGCCGCCGCCGCCGCCGGGGGCGCGTCAGCTGCCTCCGCCTCCGCCGCCTCCAGCTCCCTAAGCAGGCCCTGCACCTCCGCCAGCCGCATTGCCGCCTGCTCTGACAGCCGCGCGCACACCTGCGGTCATGGCCAGGTAGGAGGGGGGTGGGGTGAGAGGAGGTGGGGAGAGGTGGAGCAGGGTCGATATGCATCCGAACATCTGGGGACTTCGTTTAGCCTTTCCTGCTTGAATGCTGTATGTATGTCCGTCAGTCAGACTGTCGGACTGTCAGTCTGTCAGTCTGTCTGTCTAACTGTCCGTCGGTCGGTCCCATATACCCCACATCAAAGGGCAGTTGGAGACCTCCTCCTCTCCTTCCGCGTCGAGCCCACTCGCACTGCTTGCTCCCTGTCCCCCAGACACCGAAAGGTGCCATCAGGCCATAACAACCCCCCTCACAACCCCCCTCCGTCCCCCCCTCCCTCCCTGGCAGCAGCTTCNCAGGTTCGTGGTTCGTCTTCCCCTCCCTCCCTCCCTCCTGC